GGCGCAGTGGAGAAAGACCACCATGTAAGCTCTTTCTAGTGAAGTTAGATGGGGTCTGATCAATTATTGTATTCCACCTGCTCCCTCCACCCCAGCCCCTGCCCTATCCTCGTATGCAAGTAAATATAGTCTTGTACAGTTAGGAAATGCCTTGGGTTTGTTTGCTGGATAGAGTCACACTCCTTTGTTTCTCCATATGCTGCTGTACAGAACTGAAATGCTTTAGTAACTTTGTATAGAGATATCTTAAGATTTGTGTTAAGATATATTCATAAAGATGCAAACCAAGATTCAAAGACAGTTTGATGAATCCTGATACTGAACATAAAACTAACATTGCAGCTTTACCCTCTTTCCAAGAGAATCAGTGATTTCTATTGGACAAACCTAATGTAGGTTCCCAGAAACACTCATCTCCAGGACACAGGCACATTATAACATGAAAGCATTAAAAGAAACTATCTGTAAATAATAAACTAATTCCAGCAATTTGACATCCATGAGGATTTTCCATTTGTATTGTATCTCTGTGAGTCATTCTGTGCAGTAAGGTTGAGTTATTTGTGATAAGACCATAAGACTTAGGAGCAGAAATTAGGCCATTTAGCCAATTGAGTCTGTCTCACCATTGAATCATAGCTGATGAGTTTCTGAAACCCATTCTCCCACTTTCTATCTGTAACACTTGATTCCCTTGACAATCAAGAACCTATCCATCTCTGTCTTAAATATACTCAATGACCTGACCTCCACAGCCTTCTGTGGCAGTGAATTCCATAGATTCACCACACTCTTGCTGAAGAAGTTTCTCCTTATTGTGGTATAACTCAGTCCAGTGAGGACAGGAAGACACAGTCCAATAACTTCCTGAATTTAAAATGTTCATGTTTTGGGGAGTCCGGTCTGGGACTTTACTTTTTGTAATAAAGGGTTCTCTAAACATATGCAATAAAAATTGTTCTTGTTCCACAGAAACTTCCAGACACACAGGAAAGGTAAAATTTACATCTTTGATTTGATTTTTGTTTCTAACATATCCCTTCCTCACCCTGGAATGATCCAACGCTGAACTTTATCTCCTGTTTCAGAGTGAAGCAAACTCTCCCAGAGCCACAAAAGGTTTACTCTTTAATAAGTGTGGGCAAGTACAGAGTGTGGAAAAAGATGCTGACAGTGATTAATACAGGTGAGTGTGAGCTTCCTGACACCAGCTTTCCAACAGTTATCACAATTATGAGTAGAATGGAGCTGTCTCTTTATAATAAATGTTTAATTTTCTTTGTAACTGATAAGATTTCATTTCAGTCAATTTTCTGTGATAGTACAGAATTGACTTAGTACAGAATTGACTGATCACAGAATCATAGTAACCACTTCCACCTGCTGGACATTCCTAGTATTTGGAAGAGACATTGCTCCTTCAACCTTCCTTTGTCGATTATTGATCCAGAATTCTATTTATCTTTATCCATCTTCCACAAAACAAGAGCCACCGACATAAATATCACTTCTCTGAGGGAAGGTTCCTGAATCCTCCCTCAGTTTTCCGGTCACCCTGTATAAGTCAAGTATGGGGTTCTCCTGGAGACAATAAGGACTGCAGACGCTGAAAGCCAGAGTCAATAGATGTGAAGCTGGAAAAGCACTGCAGGTAGATGAGGGGTTTTGGCCCAAAACTTTGACTTTCCTGCTCCTCCAATGCTGTCTAACCTGCTGTGCTTTTCCAACTCCACATCCATTGTCTATGGAGTTTTCCTGGGTTTTTTGAGATGAGCTGTGAGTTTAGGATCATCCATTGTTTACCTTAATGTTTCTCCCACTTTGTCATAAAGTTCATTTGGTTATTCTGGTACTTGATGCTGTTCCTTCATTATTGTTCTGTCTAATAGCAGTCAGATTTAGTTGTAATGGTCAGTGATTCAAGAGACCGGATGCCAGTGAAAACAGGTCAATATTTCACTGTCCGACAGGTCACTAATAGATGTCCCTCACAGGTGGAAAATCCCTTCTCTGTGTCTACTAGGACTCTGGACACAGAGGCTACTGGTCACAAGTGACCATCTGTTTCCTGCAAAAGGCCTTCAATTAAACTGATGTCAGTGGCTGCAGCTTCCAGACAGAGGTCCTTGTTGATGTGGGCAGCTCTCAGACCTGGGATAGTCTGCAAGTCTCTCTCTCTGTCATGCACAGTCTCTCTCTCTCTCTCTCTCAAACACACACAGACACACACACTGTTACAAACACTGTCTCTCTCTGTCAGACACACACGCACGCCCTCTCTTACGCACACTATTTCTCTCTCTCTCTCTTCTGTCACACAGATCCATTCCTTCTCTCACACACATCACCTCTCTCTCCCTCTCTCTATAACACACACTGTCTCTATCTCTCTCTGTCATATAAAATGTGTGTGTCTCTCTCTCTCTGTGACACACACCATCTCTCTGTGTCTCTCTGTCACATTGTCTCTCTCTCTCTCTCTCTCACAATGTCATTCTCTCACAATGTCACACTCTCTCACAATGTCACTCTCTGTCACACACTCTCACTGTCACTATCTCTCTCTGCTGCTCTCTTTCTCATTAATTTTCTCTCTCCCAGTCGCAGACTCTCCCTGTCACACACCGTCTCAGTCACACACTTTCTTGGCCACACCCACTCTCTGTTGTACACTCGCTTGGTCACAAATTCTCTTGGCCACACAGTTGCTTTGTTGCACATTCGCTCTGTCACGCACTCACTTTGTCACTTTCTCTGTATTTCTCTTTCAGTCACTTTCTTTCTCTGTAACTTTCTCTCTCTCTCTTTCTCTGTCGCACACCCTCAGTCTCTCTGTCACACGCTCCTTCACATTCCCTCTCTATCACTGTCACTCTCTCTCTCTGTAGCTTTCCTTCTCTTTCTCTGTCACATACCCTCTTTTCCTCTCTCTGCCACACTCACTATGTAATGGAGTTTCCACAGCTTCATTGCAGGGTCTATCCCCCTGGAGTAACACTTTCCTCCATCTGTCTTTTCCAGTTTCCCCAAGCACTGTTGAAACTCTTCCCCGTGGATTGATTTCTAATTCTGAATCATTGTTGATTTTCCCAGTCACTAAACGACTGTGAGAGTTACAGTGAGTGTGACTAATATTTTACCTGTGTCCCTCTGTTCCCAGCTCCAGTCACCTTGGACCCTAATACAGCAGCTCCTCCCCTTTTCCTCTCCGAGGATCTGAGCACTGTGAGACACACAAGGAATCAACAGTTGATTCTTGACAATCATGAGAGATTTGATTACCTTGTCTTTGTCCTGGGATCAGAGGGATTCATATCAGGAAAACATTCCTGGGAGGTGGAGGTGGGGAACAAGACTCATTGGAATGTGGGAGTGGCCGAGGAGTCCATCAACAGGAAGGGAGATGTCTACCTGAATCCAGGTAATGGATACTGGACAGTGATTCTGAGAGACGGGAATGAATGCTGGGCTGGTGAGGAACCGTGGAAACAGTTAGAGCTGAGAGTGAATCTGAGGAAGATCCGAATCTGTCTGGATTATGAGGGAGGGAAGGTGTCCTTTTATAACTTAGAGAACAAGATCCATACCTACACTTTCACTGCGACTTTCACTGAGAAAATCTATCCTTACTTCAGTCCAGGTCTCACTGATGGAGGTAAAAACACAGAGCCTCTGAAAATCTGTCCTCAGAGGATAACAATCCAGGAGGATGATGGATTCATCCCTTCATCCAAATAAAGACTCTTCCTGTAAGGGGAGAGGGGAAGATCCCACACACTGGATCATGGAGTGGGGGAGGGGAAGATCCCACTTACTAGGTCATGGGGTGGCAGAGGGGTAGAGCTCACACATGTGTCACTGGGTGGGGGAGGGTAAGGCCCCCATTCTCTGTCTTTGATTTTGGTTTTGGGGAGAGGAGGGTGGGGACTGGTTCTGGGATG